CCTAAGGCGGCGGATGCCAATGCCTCCCTCAGAGAAAGGGCGGCAAATAGAGTCCCAACTCACCTAGTGGGTACGTCTCCCCCTCCCGGAACCGTCCTCGTAACCCCAGAAATAACGAGCCATAATCTGGTCAATCTCGTCAAGAGTAGACCTAGGGGGTCGAGGACCATAAGTAAATGAAGCGGAAGGGAGCTCAGGGTGCTCTTGATCAGCGCAAGCCGACCCCCGAAAGAAAGGTGTCTATACGACCAACCAGAGATTCTATCGATCATCCTCTGTCTAATGTCTGCAAAGAGCGCTCGTGAGATGGCCCTTATATAAAGGGGCACCGAGGTAAATAATGGGAAGGTCGCCACGCGCAAAGCCAGTAATATCGTGGACCCACTGAGCCCACCTGTCCGCGCTGGAGGAGGAAAGGGTGAAGGTGCTCTTCTACACACTGATCAGCTGGCCGATAACCGAGCTATAGTGCTCCAGAAGGTGCATAAGCTCGATCAGCCCATCATCATTCGCCCGGGTGAAGATGATGATGTCATCCGCATAAGAGAGGTGTGAGATGGAAGGACCATAGCCACGGGTGTTGTATGTTATCCGTGGACAGTCGCGGATGAAGCCGTCAAGGCAGCGAGAGAGGTAGTCCGCCGCAAGAACGAAAAGGGACGGGGAAAGGAGGTCTCTCTGTCTAAGGCCTCTAGAGGAGGGAAGAAAAACCGATGGGGCTACCATTAACCAGGACCGAGAACGTGCAGTGCTCCATGCACGCCTCAACAAAACTGATCCACCGCTCAGGAAATCCCATCCTAGCCAGTGTCTCCCTAAGGTTAGTAGTTGCTAGGTTAGTTCTCTGTAGTTGCTAGGTTAGTTCTCTGTAGTTGCTAGGTTAGTTCTCTCTAGTTGCTAAGTTAGTTCTCTGTAGTTTCTATGTTAGTTCTCTATAGTTGCTAGGTTAGTTGTTTGTAGTTTCTAGGTTAGTTGTCTGTAGTTTCTAGGTTAGTTGTCTGTAGTTTCTAGGTTAGTTGCCTGTAGTTGCTAGGTTAGTTCTCTGTAGTTGCTAGGGCGGATCAAATGAGGACAGCGATAGATTGAATTAGGATTGAGCATGGGACTCGGATAATTTCGTTTCCAAAACTGAACCGAAATCATTATGAACCAAAAAATAACCGTCGGCCATTTGACTTTCTCCGAACCGAAAAAATAATTGGTACAATTTTAGATATTTCAAAATATTCGTATCGGGAACCGAACTGAACCGTCATATACCGTACCAAAATTAAGAACAAAATTATAACACTAGATGTGTGTTCTTAATATATTTATGTCCCCTTTGATCCTATATTGAGAATTTTGAAAATGCAAATAAAATATAGTAATAACAATTTAGTTGTACTTAAATTTCATTCCTAGGCGAACTGTCCACGCACCAGATGCGCTTGTGGCGAGTCCGGACCACCTCCAGCAGCTTGAGTGCGCTTCGATAGAAGTCCAACAAGCCCAAGATGATGCGAGACAAGACTCAGACATCGAGAAACATGACGTGGTAATGGCGAGTGGTACAACGACTCGATGAGGCTCAGACGATCTCCATCAACGGAAATCAGAAACGTCTAAAATCGCCAAAATATTTAAACCGTAAGTCCTGATACTAACTATAGATTTTGCTGCGTTAGGATTTATTTTAATAGATTTGGAAGTGCACATCGACGACGTTCCTCATAGAATCTAACAACGACTTCTATGGAGATCCACATATGCTAACGGGGCGACTATCTTACTAGACCTTGAAAATATTTTTATAGGGGTCTCGTGCCCTCCCTAAAGATATTTATCTTATCCAACGATGTAGTGGTGGTCTTTGTTTATGGCTTTTTTAAAAGAGCAGTTTGGAGATGGAACTTGTGCATCACCAGATCGATAGTAAAAGAAGATCCAGGTTCATACGACCAACCGCTATATACTGCTTGGTCCTAGGAACCTGGGGGCACTTGTTATACATATTTTCACCGATCTGAA